CAAGTGGTTTGTGTTGGAAGCAATATCAAAGCTCATCTGACTCCAATCCACCTTCCACTAGCCCAGGTTGCTCCAATCCCCATCCAACCTGGCCTTGAACATTTTCGGGGACGAAGAGTCCACAACATCTCTGGGCAACGGTCAGCACAGAGCACTTGGCATGGCGTTTGCTTGGCCAAGCTGACAGTTCCCCACAGAGAGCCCCTGAGTGTGCATGTTCAGCCTGCTGAGCTGCTGATCCTGAAAGGAAAGCTCAAATTCCAAAACCCCCAAAGCTGGGGTTCCAAAACCCCAGCTGCTCTGCACAACCCCAGGGTGTTGGGACAAGAAGGAGATTGCTGAAGTTGCTGAAGGAGATTAAAGCACAGGCTGTGAGCATGGAACATGAATGTTGCCTCCTTCCCCTTGGCCTCTGGAACACTGTTTATTCCCTTTGTGGAGAGATCTCAGCTGAGCTCCAAGCCAAGCAGAATTTTCCCAGTGCAGGTGGAGCAGTGGATCCAGGCAGAGCTCCTGGATCTCCTGCACCACCAAGTGACCTGTAAGCCCCTGTCCTGCTCTTTTGCCTCCGTGTAGACCTGAGATCTACAGAAAATACCCAGAGCACTGTTCCCACAGTTGCCTGTGTTGGATACTGTCCATCCATAAGAGCTGCCTTACTGGAAAGTGGTGAGTCTGGGGATCCTGCGGCTGTGGGGAGGTGGCTCAGCTTCTTCAACGGGTTTGGGCACACTGTGGGAATGTGACAAAAATTAAAACAACTACATCGACAAGCACAGGCAATAGTGAAGAGTTACTGATCTCATGCAGGGCGAAATGAGGGGAGATGCAGCTGTGGGTGCTGCACAGTCCCATCCGAAACAGCTCCGGTGTGGAAGCGTGGTCTCAAAGTCTGTCTTCCCTTGTGCTGGTGAAAGTTAAGTGTCTGCTTTCTGAAGCCTTTTCAGAGCCTGCCAGCTCAGCTGCCATGTGTCCTCCAAATGCAGGGAAGGATGCTCAGCTTCCTCCTGGCTGCCTGGACAGGCACATGGGCTGCAGCCCATTGCCTGCTGCCATGGCCAGAGCTGGCTGGGAGCTCCTGGCTCCTTCATTCCCTGAGGCTGGCAGTGGGTGTGAGGCCATGGAGGGCTCTGGGACACGAGCGATGCTGGTGGCTCGCCACCGCCTGGCAGGGATTGCTCCCAAAGGCAGCTCCATGCTGGGAAGCTGGCAGCAGGACTTGCTGCACTGGGGCGGCTTTGTGCGCTTTTTTTTGGTGGTTTTCCTAAAAACGGTGCATTTTGCAATCCTCATAGTCTTTCACAAAACTTTTCCTGGCAGAACCTCTCCAAAACATCTGGGAATTCAGCTTTTGAAAGGTGTTGGGGTTAAAGACATTTGCGCTTCTGTACAATGCTGACAGGTTTCCTGGTGTGGAGATCTCTTGCCAGAACTCTGCTTCATGATGGTGGGTTGGACTCAGGGGGCTGAAGTTGCTCCAGGAAACACAGGGAAGATTTTTCAGCCTGGGTGAAAGGGCAGAGGTGACAAGGGAGGAGCCTTGGAAGTGGCTGAGGATGGAGACCTCATCCCACCATCCGGGGGAAGTTGTTCCAGTTGTTGAACCCAAACTGTGGTTTGGGGAACTGCAATCTGGGATGTCACTCTGAGAAAATTCCCCCCATCCCCTTCATGACTGATACTAGAGGGCTGATGTCCACCCTGCTGCTCACACAGGTGAGACCAGCTCCATGTACTCATCACTGACCTCCAGCTCTATCCCCATGGATGCGAGTGTGGCAGGCTCTGCTGGCCCTGCTGGTGCAGGCAGGAGGGTAGACAAAAGTTGGGGACACCATGGGATGGGCTTGTGTCCATCAGTTACTTATGAGGTCCCTCAAAGCTTTGCCCTTGCTGATGCCTGCGCTGCATCAGGGAAAAATACTTGACGGACTTCGAGGTCTTTTCCAACCTAAAGCATTCTCTGATTACATACAGATGTCAGGAATAAAGGCTGAAATGAGTAAGGCATGAAGCCCTGAGACACGGCTTTGTGTCTGCAAATAATAAGGAATGAGTTACAGCCTTGGAAGAGCAGGAAAGTTCCCCCGTGTGCAGGGTCCAGCAGTCCCTGGCGTTGATGAGGTGCCCTCCTCACACTGTCCCCTGTGTGAAAGCTCTGCTTGCAATGGATTGCCTACAGATGGGTTTCTCAACCTTTCCTAACCCAGGGATGGCCAAACCTTTCTGGTGACAATCCAAGGATCGTTTTGTTCGGAGCCACCACATGGTTTTATTTACGCCCCATGCGAATTAGGCAAACGTCTCACTGTTTGTCTCTTATTTCATCCCCTCGTGTTTGCTTCTGCACACAGGAATGTGTGCCTGTGTGCTTAGGAGCTATTTTGCAGACCACTTCCTACTGTCCTGGGGACACGGAGCAGGTCCCGGTCCCAGAGTGACAGCGGGGAGCGATGTGTCCCTGTCCTTACTTCACATCACAGCTCGGTTCCCCAGACAGGGAGGAAAGCGCCGGCCACTGGCCAAGCCACTCCACCATCTTCTGCCACGCCAGCATCCCTAACCCAGTGAAGGGGAAAACCCTGAGGACCTGCAACGTCCCTGTCCGCACCTGGAGACTGTTCATTAACGTGGCTGAACAGCAGCCTGAGCCCACCATGTCCTCTGTGCTCATCCGTGGGGGCTTCAGTCCCTCCACCTCTTGCCTGGAAGTCCACAGATCTCCCTGTGTCTCGAGGGGGCACCCACAGCTGTGTTCTTGGCTCTGAAGATGTCCCCACTGACTATTTTTTTTTTTGGCCAAGAAAGCACTGAAAGGTAACTGCATCCGCTTTGGAAAACCAATGGACTCGGAACCTCTGCCAGGAGTTTCCCTCCCTCCCTGGACCCTTGCAGAGCCTCAGCAGGAGCCTTCCCCAAATCCATCCCCTGCTCAGGGCAGTTCTGCCAGCTCCCAAATCCACGCTTAACTTGACACATGTGTGCAGCCCTGGGAAATGTGGTGGCTCTGATTCTTGTTTGTGATGCCTTCCCCAGCTCCAACCTGACGGGAGCCTCCCTTCCAATGCACCACCTCTCTGCCAGACATGCTTGGAGCACCAGTCTCCATCTTCCCATGGCCTGGGGTTCCAGTGAGGTGACTGCTCCCAGTCCCAGTCCTGGTGGGTTTCCTCAAGGCTGTGAGGAGTATTGGGGGGCACTGTGCCTGTCAGGGGAGATGGGATCGTTTGTCCTCCTTCATCGCTTGTGTTCACCTCCAGCAGCCGCCATTCAGGGCTGCCATTTGGAACTCCCAGGTGCCATTCAGGACCCCCACCTACCATTTGGGACCCGCAGGTTTGGTTATGGCTGTGCCACTGGACACCATCCCTAGCATGAGGATGAGGAGACAGCAGTGCCTCACCTATTGCAGAGAGTTTAAGCTCTGTTTAAGCACGATCCAGGTAGAACCCTAATTAGGGGGATGCCCAAAGGGAGGTTGTTAGGAGGGGGAGCTCCATGCAGCTCTGCTAGGGCTGCTGGGCAGGCACACAGCCACTCTCCAGGCTCTGAGACAGAGGCACCAACATTCCGGTGTCTTGGGCTTCGTGGGGCTCAGAACAGCTCCTCTTGGCATTTGGGACCGAGGTGTGGGCATGGGTTGCACTCCTCGGGCTGCACTCTCAGTCCCAGCACGGCTGATTTTGGGGTGAGGACAGACTGACAGCGAACATGGCTGCGGGTCCAGCTCTGGCTCTTCCTCGCTGACAAAACCCCCAGTTTGCGACACAATTTTTGGCGTTTGGTCCTCGCCATCCGCTTTCTATTCTAGCGCTCGCCTTGCAGGAAGGCTGTGGGGACGAGGGGGGTGGGAGCCTGTTTCAATTGTTTGGGGAATGGAAGAGACTCGTTCTGTGGCTGGTGGAGCCCAGCAGAGCTCACTGTGTGCAGGGAGATTCCCCACTGCTGGTGCTTCCCTTGGAACAGCAGAACCTGGAGGCTTTCTGAATCGGTGGCATTTTTGCGGGTCTGGTGACCAGCCCTTGGGATGGAGCCTGGCCTGGGGCATGGGATGTGCATCACCTGCCTGGGACAATATTGGGGGAGAAATATGCAGTTTTTGGGATCTGGCAACGGTGGAGTGGTCCAGAGGGGTCAGCGGACCTCTCATCCAATACAAGCTGAAAACCAATGCATTTAGTGGGCAGGAGGGTTCCCACCCAGTTTTCTCCAGGCAGGGGTGAATCTCGCACCTACTCCCATGTGAGCACAGAAAAATGAATCACCAAAAATGAAAGGAAGCAAAGAAAGCAAGCAAAAAAATAAAAAAAAAAAAAAGAAAAAAAAAAAGAAAAATAATTAAAAAATCCCTCCCCAAAGCCGCCTTCCAGAGGGTTGGGCAAAAGATAAAAGCTCTCGGAGGAGCCGGGACTCCTCCTCTCCCAGCACCGACCTCTCATTTAAATGTCTGTGTGCAGGCTGCAGCCGGCACTGCCTCGGCGGCCGCCCCGGGAGCCCCCGGCCGTGCCCCGGGGGCGATGCCCACGCCCAGCATGGGCAGAGAGCCGGGCTGCAGCAGCCCGGGGTGCTGACACGGCCCCGGGCAGGACGGAGCGGTGCCGGGGCTCCGGGGGGGGATCCCGGTGCGGAGCCCCCGGGGCGCTGAGCCGGGGCAGCGGCGGCGGCAGCGGCGGCGGGGGGGGTCCCGGTGGATGGACCCCCCAGGGCAGAGCCCGATGTCGGTGCCACTGCTGCTCTGGGTGGTTCTGCTGCGCTGGGCCGGCGGCGGGGGCTCGGTGCGGGCCGGCAGGACGTGGCAGCACTGCACAGGTAGGAGCGGAGGGCGGGGGGCACCTCCGGGACAGGGGCTGACCCACGCCGGGCACTGCTGCCCCGCGGCTGGGGTGATCCCCACGCCGCCCCCAGAAGCTGTGCCGAGCCCCGCGTGGGTCACCCCTCGCCGGCAGCCCGGCCCCGGTGGTGTGGCAGGGTGTGGGGTCATTCCTGTGCTCCGAATGGGGCCGGCAGGGAGAGCTGTGCCCCTGCTGCACACAAGCGTGTCCCAGGTTCTGCTGGAGGCACAGGGAGGGCAGGGGAAGGACTGGAAGAAGGAGAAGAGAGCCGTGAAGTCCCCCTGGAAAGTCCCTCCTGTCCCGGCCGGGAGCCGGCAGCTCCAGTGTCATTTCCCGAGCCAAAGAGCATCTCCCTGCCCTGGCTCTGCCATCGGCAGTTCCAGTGTCATTTCCCGAGCCAAAGAGCATCTCCCTGCCCTGGCTCTGCCATCGGCAGCTCCAGTGTCATTTCCCGAGCCAAAGAGCATCTCCCTGCCCTGGCTCTGCCATCGGCAGCTCCAGTGTCATTTCCCGAGCCAAAGAGCATCTCCCTGCCCTGGCTCTGCCATCGGCAGCTCCAGTGTCATTTCCCGAGCCAAAGAGCATCTCCTTGCCCTGGCTCTGCCATCGGCAGCTCCAGTGTCATTTCCCGAGCCACAGAGCATCTCCCTGCCCTGGCTCTGCCATCCCATCCCCGTGCCAGCGCTTGGGTGGGCAGCGAAGCCTGAGCTCAGTTTTTGGGGCCGCTTGGGCCCAAGCTCTGCGTGCTTACGGATTGTCCCGGTTTGATGGCAATTGTATTCGCTTTTTGTTACAGCCCAGGTGATGTGAGAAGAAAACCAGGGAGAGATTGGAGAGTTTCTGCCCACTGCCTCTTCGCTGAGGCGCTCCAATCTCTCTGGGAATGTCCCTGCTGTCCCCATGCAGCCTTGGCTGGAGGGATCCTGGGGGTGCCAAGGCTCCAGCATCATCCTGGGGCCCCCAGCACGAGACCCCCTGACACCACCTGTGCTGCCCAAACTGGGCTGGAGCACCCCAGCTGCTCTGCCAGCCTTAGCAGCGATGGATGTGGAAGGCACATCTTTGGGTTTAGGGATTTGGGTTTGGTTTTAGGGCTTGGCCCCTTCCTGGCACACCACCTCCTGTCCCTGCTGAGCTCTCCCCCAATCTCATCCTCACCACCTCAAGGGCAACTGGGGGCTCCTAAACCCCCAGCAAATCCAAGCCTGAGTTCAGCTTGTACTTTTTGCTGGGAAAAACAGGAACTGGCCGTTGCCCGAGTGATACATTTTTGAAATTAGCTATTCCAGTTAAAACTCCCCCACCAAGATTTTGCTTTAGGAACAGCTTAAAGTAGCAGTGGGGCGGGCAGGGGGGCACATAGGGCTGCCAGGGTGGGCAGGACCTCACCTATCTCCCTGCTCTGGTCTGGATAGAGCCACATGAGCAGACTCCTCCTTGCTCTGCCCACCTGGAACCGGGCTGGCCAGGCGTGTCTGGAGGAAGCGCTTCCCTTCTCCAGCTGGTTTGGATTCACACAGCCCAGCCTTGCTCGCAGCTCCCTCCTTCCCAGCCTTCCCGCTGTGCCCCAGCAGCCCGGATTTATTAGTACAAATTGGAGCTAAAGGCCAGGTCTCAGCGGGGTGGGACAGAATCAGGGCTGTTTTAGTGTAGCCAAGTGCTGCTTCATCTCTTGGGCACCATCTCTCTTCTCTGCTAGAAAAGCGTTCAAAAACAAAACCAGGAGGGTCCGAGGCCAGGAAGGTCGGAGAAGTCCCCACGGCTGCTCCAGCCCTTCCTGTGCCGAGGTGTTTGGAGCTGGCAGTGCTCCGTGGGGTGGCACTTTCTGGTGCTGTTGTGCTGTGTACTCTCACCGGGCGATGCCCTGGGGCTGGGCACGGCGTTCTCTTCTCTGGGGAGAGGGTAATTATTTATAATGAGTGGTTTTGGTGCCTGCTGGGAGAGTGCGTGTGCGTGTGTGCAATTAGGGCTGGGTTGGGAGAGCCTGAACGGGACTGGAGGGGTGGAGCTGTCCCCGCTGCCCTGCGGACAGAGATGGGGACGGGTGGCTGCCCTGAGAGCAGTCCGTGGGACCGGATCCCTGCCTGCTCTCCTGGCTCCGGCTGCTGGTGCCGCTGGATCCCGAGGGAGCTGCTGGCAGCCCGGCTGGCAGGTCCCAGCTCCAGTGGCAGCATTCAGAGCTGCATCAGCGACGCGGTTCTGCACACTCGGTGTGGCGATGGAGATGCCAACCTTGTGTCTGAAGGGCAAATCTTGCCTCTGGCCCTGGAGCGGGGGCTCGGGGCACCCCCAGGCGAGGGCCCAGCGCCGGGGTCCCGCATCCCACAGCGGGACAGGGCGGGATCAATGACTCCGCTGTCTCTTGGCACAGACCTGCGCCCGCTGGACATCCTCTCGGAGGCGGTGCCGGCCGGGGGCCCGGCCCGGGGCATGCGGGTCTTCCAGGTGCAGGGGGTGCGCGGCTTCCAGCTGTCCCCCGCACGGCCCCGCGCCCTGGGCTTCCCCGCCTCGCGGCTCTTCATCCACTGCGACCGCTTCCCCGAGGAGTTCTCCATCATCGCCACGCTGCGGGCGCGCCGCCGCCCCGCCAAGGTGGGCACGGCCGGGCACGGTGCGGGAACGGTGCGGGCACGGTGTGGGCACGGTGTGGGCACGGTGCGGGCACGGTGCGGGCATGGCCGGGCACGGTGCGGGCATGGCCGGGCACGGTGCGGGCACGGTGCGGGCACGGTGTGGGCACGGTGCGGACACAGCTGGGCACGGTGCGGGCATGGCCGGGCACGGTGCGGGCATGGCCGGACACGTGCGGGCATGGTGCGGGCATAGTGCGGGCACGGTGCGGGCACGGCCTGGCACGGCCAGGCACGGTACGGTCACGGCACGGTGCGGGCACGGCGCGGCCCCGCCGGTGCCAGCCGCTGCCCTCCCGCAGAGGAACGAGTACATCTTCACGCTGATGGTGGAGGACAGCCCCAGCGTGCTGGTGGGGCTGCGCTACGCCCCCGACAAGCTGCACTTCCTCTTCTGGAGCCAGGAGCGCGCCGGCGGCTGGCAGACCCGCGTCACCTTCCCCAACGTGTCCCTCTCCGACAACCAGTGGCACACGCTCATCCTGGCTGTCTCCGGACAGTCCTTCTCCTTGACCGTGGACTGCAGCATCCCCAAGGATGTGTAGGTTGGGGCAGCGCTGGGAGGGTGGGCAGGGTGATGTCCCTCCACCAGCATCGCCTCTGGCCACCGGTAGATGCTGTGAAATTGTCCTCTTCTGTGAAACCTCTTCTCTGCCCATCCCCAGGGTGGTGGAGACACCATTTCCAGCCTCGCTGTCGGTGAGGAGAGCCAGCTTCTACCTGGGCAACCGGCGGAGGAGGAAAGGCGTGTTCACGGTAGGTGCCCCGTGGTGTGGGGTGCCCAGGTGGGCTCAGGGGTGCTCGTGGCTGGCCACGGGATGGCCCACGGCCCTCTCTCAGTCCCCTACGCTGGCAGGGCTTGGGCCACAGCACAGGAGGCAGAGGTGGCTGTGTGTCCTTCCCGTGTGGAGGCACTGCAAGGCAGCTGCTCCAAGCCCCGTGCCAGTGCTCCCCTGACATCAGCTGTTAGATTGCCCCAGCTCGGCACCTGGGGTCTGACAGAGGTGCATGAATCTCATGGACACTTCTGCATCCCAGGAGAGAGAGCAATAAGCAGAACTCGGGCAGGAAATCCAAGGCATTGATTACCTGCAGTTCCCATTCTGTGATCTTGTGGGACTTGGTCTCCATCCCTCTGCTCCCGCTTTCCCAGGGCTTGCTGAGACAGCTTGTCCTGCTGCCAGGAGCTGATGCCACCCCCCGGATGTGCCACGCCGTGAACTTCAAAGTAGCAACGCTCTCTGTCCCCAGTGTCCTCCAGGATGTCCCTGCGAGGCCAGTGAGCAACGAGGTGCTCAAATACCCCTACGGTCAGTGCCCCCTGGGGCTCCGTTGGCCCCCTCCCTCTGTCAGGAGGGGTCTTTGCATGGGGCTGGGAACCAAGCAGGAGCAGAGGGGAGGAGGGTGCTCCCAGCACTCTCTGGTTTTCAATGTGTGTGTTGGGATCCCTGTCTAAAATCTCCCTGGATAGACAGGGTGGCCCTGCCTGGGTCCCTGGGCTCGTGTCAGTGGTCTCACACAGACTGGGTTGCTTCAGTCTGTGGCTTCCCAGATTTGTGCTGGGATTCCATTTTCCCCACTGCCTGATGCCCATCACCAGGATGAGGCCAGGACATTGGCCCCTCCTGCCTCTCTGCTCTCCGCTGTGTGCACTAAGAGGCTCCTGCCTGGCTCCTCTCCGTGCCCAGAGGCTGACATGAAGGTGACCCTGGGGGCCCGGCCACGCTGCTCCAAGCAGGAGAAGGCTCAGTTCTGGTTCAACGCCTCCCGGCGAGGGCTGTACCTCTGCAACGGCAGCACCTGGGTCTCCATGCTGGAAGGTACCCCTGGGGAGGTTCTGGCACTCTTGGGGAGAGGAGGAGACCCTTGCAGCAGCAGAGATTTGCCCTGGAGACCACTTTGGGATGGGAATCAGCAGCAGTGTGGGGCTGGGGTGTCCCTCTGTCTCTCCTCTGCTTGGCCAGGCTTTGCTTTGCTCTTGGTGCCCGTGATGCTTCCAGAGCACCTCTGGATTCAAGAGTCTCTGTGGTCCCTCCACCTTCTCCACACGATCTGTCCCTCCTGGGAATTTTCTGGGCAGGATGAGCTCCAGTTCTGTCTGAGCAGGACAGCTCACCCCACGGAGAGCCATGCTCAGGGTGTTGGGGTGCTGCCCCAGCGCTGAAGCATTTGTGGGATGGATAAGGGGAAAGTGTAAGTAGGTAAGTATTTCAGCTGCCAGAAATACTGGGGGTGATTGGAAGGGCAGCAGACACAGGTCCCAGTGTCGTCTGGGCTCTGGTGGGACGCTTTGTAAGGAAAACAGTGGGAGTACCAAGGTGGGAAAGGCAGCCAGAGCCTGGGTTGGATGGGTGTTCTTCAGTCATGACGTGGATTTCATCCACTGGCACTCTCACTCACTCCAGGCTGTCTTCCCAGGATCCCTGGAGAGGACATGGAGGATGGGATATGTCTCTGACTGAACTGTCCTTCCCTTCCCTCCTCTCCCAGCATTTTCTTCTGCTGATACCCTCAGGGTGGGTTTGGATGAGCCATTTGTTCCCCACAGCAGCTGGCAGTGACTGGACCCCCTATCCTTCCCTGCCTCTGGAAGTCATCAGGATTGGCACGGTGTCCTTGTTTCCCCAAGGAGAGCTCGTGCTGGGGTCTCACTGCCCTGTGCCCCTTGGTGCCACCAACACTGCCCCTTCTGCCATTTGTCCCTTCCAGTGCCCATCCATCTGCCATCGGGACTACTCTGGAGGTTTCTGCTCCAATTTCTGCCATGAATTCCATCTTAGTCTTCTCTAACCTCTCCTGCTGTCATCTCCTTTTTCTCTTGAGGATAAATATATCGAAGTGGTCAAAATCCGTGGTGTGGGGCTCTTTCCTGCTCCCAGAGGACACAGCTCTGCTCTCTGCTGGAAAACAGGCAGGGCTGGATGGGGCTGGATGTGCTGCAGTCAGCCTCTTAGCACCCCTGGTTTGGCCCTTCACCCCCAGTGTCGCCAGAACCTTCATTTTCCCCACAAAGCTCTGCACAGCAGCTGGTGCCACCGAGCCAGCCCTCGTGGGGCTGCTCCAGCTAAAATTACCTTGTTTTAACCTCATCCCTCTTTTTTTTTTGTGGGCTCCCAGTCCAACACAGGCTGGACTACGTGGAGGAGCACCAGAAGCTGGTGACCAACTCGGAGACAATGGGCATTGAGGTGTTCAGCATCCCAAAGGTGGGGCTGTTTGCAGCCATGGCCAACCGGCTCACGCCCCCGGGATCGGCCATCTACAGGTGGACCGACGGGAAGTTTGTGCACTACCAGAACATCCCCACCCACCAGGCTCAGTCCTGGAAGTATTTCACCATTGGGAAGAAGGTGAGTCTGCCAGGAAGGTGCCCCCATGGTTCAGTACGTTAAACTGCAGTTGCCCAACACTGGATTCTCTGAGCCCGGAGCCTTGGGTGTGGTTTAGAGAGTGTAGTTAACTGCATCTCAGAGATCTCCTGGGGTCTTAAAAGAGCCATCAGGGCCTGCAGTTCCCTCTCGAGACCCACTGAGTCCAACCTGCTGCATTTTTAAACTCTCTTGCTTTTAAATTATTCCAGGACTTCAGAACTACCTCTTCTCCCCTGGGCAATCTGCCTTGGGGCTTGAGCAGAGGATTTGCCTGGTTCCTCTCCCTGGGAAGCTGCTTGTCACTTTGGAGGAACCCCAGGAAAGCCTCTGCTGAGAGCCAGCTCCGTGCAGGGCTCCCAGGGAAGCTGGGATTGTTCCCCCTCTGCCATGACCCATCCTGGCTTTGTCCCCAGGGTGTTTCTCTTCCCACTGAAGCTGTTTCTGGAGATGTCCCAAAAGGGGTCCCTGGACTGGTGCTTGCAGAGAGAACAGAGCTGGGCATTCAGCTTTTGTGGGGGGACAGGGGGACAGCCCAGCACAGCCCTGTCCCTGGGGGTGGCTACACCTTGGCTGAACAAAGCCCTGGTGCTGTACAGGCCAGGAGGCAGGAGACAGCCCCACTGACTCTTTCCTCACTGTGGGCTGTGGCCCTGTGCCTCTGTGTGGCCCAAAGTGGGGCATAATCTCTGCTGCTCCATCTGAAGGACACTGCAGTGGCACAGAGCCAGCATGACAGAGCTGGGATCTGCTCTCTGCCTTGCACTTGGCCATCTCTGCTGCACCACTCTTGTCTCTACACTTTCACAGGGGTTTCTTGGTGTGGGAAATGTTTTGTCTCAGGGAATTGTTATAGTTATTGTCATTGTTATCATTATCACACTTGCCTTTTTTTGTTTGAACCGCCTTTGCTTACAGGAGGGTTTTTCAGCTGAACCTCCCTCCATCCCCAGTGCATTTTGTGTCCAAGCTCCCCATTCCTGGGGCTGGAGGGCCTGAGTGCAGGCATCTCAGCTCTGCCTCTCCTTGTCTAAGAGCTCCTGGCTGCCAGTTGTGCCCCTGCCGTGCACAAGGACCCCCACAGGCCATCGGGTCCCTGTCCCCACTTTGTGCTGCTTGGGGACACCTCAAGGACCCCAGCCAGGGCCATCTTGTCCCACACCAGCCACCTCCATCCCACTTCCCCCTGCATTTTCTTGCCCGTGCTCCTTTGAGAGGAGAAAACCAAGCCATCCTGGCTTTTCCTTTTCCAGATCTTCCTGGCAGTGGCGAATTTTGAGCAGAATGAGAGGGGTCAGGAGTTCTCTGTAATCTTCAAGTGGAGCCGCAGGAAAGCGAAGTTCCTGGCGCACCAGCGGATCGCCACGCACAGCGCCAGGGACTGGGAGGCCTTTGCCATTGAGGGAGAGGCTTTCCTGGCTGTGGTCAACCACAGAGAAGGTACCAGCCCTCCGTGCTCCCTGCGGGGTGGTGGCTGGGGCCCTGGCAGGCAGAATGAGTGCAGGGGAGGTGAGCACTCAGCTGCCAGCCTGGGCTCCCCCAGGACACCCAGAGCCTTGCAGAGGAGAAAAAAGCTTTTGGGGAAGTGGCTGACACAGTCACCCTCTGGGTTTCTGACTGCAGGGGACAAGGACGGGAGTGGGGATGGTGTCTGTGCTGGATCTTTCTGCTTCTTCTCATTTTTATCCCCAGTATTACATAACCTGGTAGTGCCACAGGTGGAGCCTTTTGTGAGGCCAGATCCTCGGCCTTGTGGGCACGCAGGAAACTCAGAGAGAGCCAGCTGACATCCCTCCCTGGATACCCTTTAGACACGATCCAGCCTCATTCCCCTCCCCAGGCAGCTGTTCTGGGCTGGGACGTGCAGCCCTTGGTTGGCAGCACAGCCCTGGCTCTGTGGGACGCAGATGATGGCCAGTGGCTCCTTCCCTGCCACCAGGGCTGCCTCGGGGGGCATCAGCGCCTCTGGCACCAGGCTCAGAGCTGGCAGCAGCTTCCCTGGCACCTGTGGGCTGGGCTGGAGAGTCCCCGTGTCACCTGTTGGACTCCATCAGGGCCACTTTGGATGAGACCTTCCCATGTGGCAGTGTGGTCCCTTTGCCAGCCATGCACATCACACAGGGGTTGAGACCATCATGGCCAAGCCAAACTGGGGATGTTTCCCTTAGAGGGGACTGGAAGTTCAGTCCCTGAGGAGCTGCCACTTATCCATGTGGCCATTCCCACTCTTCCTGCAGCCTTTCTTTGCCCAAGTCCTTGTTGCATTGAGGATTTAAAGCCTGCTGGGTCCCACACAGGCATGAGGTGGAGATGCTTGAGCAGAGCCCAGGAGCTGGATGAAGCATGTGCCTTAGGGCAGAGGGGAAGCCCCAAATGTCAGGAGCTTAGGGATGTAGGCACACAGTTTGTGGTGATTGGGAGTGGGGCTGAGCCTCATCCCCAGTGGCTACAGCTGTGAAAAGCACTGACAGCAATGAGCCAGGGAGTGCCCAGGGGCACTGAGCAACCACCAAAGGGAGCAGGGGGCTCACAGGGGCACTGCATACACGTGAGGGGATAAAAGGTTGGGCTAAAGAACAGAAAGGGCAGACACTTGAAGCCTTCTGATGTGGTGTTATTCTGTATGGGTTGAAGCTTTCTGAATTTGTGTGGTGATACTCTGTGTGTTGTGGCCATCTCAACTGTGACGTGTGCTGTGGCATAGGGCCACCCCATGGGACTGCCAGCAGAGCTTGTCCACCCTGGGATGCTGGCAGGAAGCTTCTGGAGTGCTGCTTGTGCCTGTCCCTCCTCTGCCAGGGCTGCCCCAAAGCTGCTGCTGTGCACTTGGGACAAGCTGTTGGTGTGTTCCATGGGATGGAGGCTCTAGGGATGGAGACACTCGGTGGGGATGGAGGGGGCCTTTAGTATGGATGGAGAATCTCTTTGGCTACTGCCTGGGGAGCAACAGGTCACTTGCAAAGAGCCTTGTGACCTGCTGGTAAATACTCATGTAACTGAGCCTGTTTTGGGGTCATTTCCTCCACAAAGCAGGAATTGCTTTCCCTGATGGTGCACATCTGTCTCCCCCCAGGGAACAACCACAACATAGACAGCGTGATATACAGGTGGAACCCCAGGACAGGGCTGTTTGAAACCAACCAGACCATTCCCACCTCTGGAGCCTACGACTGGGAATTCTTCACCATCGGGCCATATTCCTTCCTGGCTGTAGCTAACACATTCAATGGCACGTCCACTAAGATCTACTCACACATCTACATCTGGCTCAGTGGCTCCTTCCAGCTCTTCCAGTCTATCCTGGTAAGGCTTGGCCACTGCTCCTCAGTCCCCCCTCTGTTTAGACAGGGCAGCCACATCCAGCTTCTCATGGCCGCCTTCCCCGCAGACATTTGGTGCAGCTGACTGGGAGGTTTTTCACATTGGGGACAGAGTCTTTCTGGCTGTTGCCAACAGCCACAGCTATGACAGCGGGATGCCAGCACCCTCCAACTTCTATGCCATCAACTCCTCCATCTACGAGCTGAACATCACAGCCCAGATGTTTGTGAAATTCCAGGACCTTCTCACCTACAGGTACCTGTGCAGGGATTCAGGGTGCTCCTAGGTCTGTGTCCTTCCCCTGAGCAACACAAAGGTCTCATAAAATCCCAGAATGGTTTGGGTGGGAAGAGACCTTAAAGCCCATCTCATTCCACCCATTGCCATGGGCAGGGACACCTTCCACTATCCCAGGTTGCTCCAAGTCCCATCCAGCCTGGTCTTGGACACTTCCACGGATGGGATGGCCACAACTGCTCTGGGCAGCCTGTGCCAGGGCGTCTCCTCTTCCAGTTTAAAACTGCACTTGCTTGTCTCCTGGAGGGTTCCTGCAGGCTTCACTCTCCTAGGGACTGAGACTGGTGGGGAGGGTGATGGGTGATGGCTCCTTGGCACCAAATCCCAGTGGGAGCTGGGAGAAGGGCCTGGGTTTGGGAATGAGGCTGGATTTCTTTCAGGAGTAGCCTGGGAAGAGCAGGGTTTTCTGTGTGTCCTCAGGGTGGCAGAGATCGGGGTGGGTGGACACACAGGGGTCGTGTCACCTGCCCCTCTGCTCCTCTCATCCCCAGTGCCCTGGACTGGGAGTTCTTCTCGGTGGGAGACGACTCTTTCCTGGTGGTGGCGAACTCCTTCGATGGCTTCACCTTCTCCGTTAACAGCATCATCTACAGGTACTGCAGGGGGCAGGCACGGCTCGGGGCTGCTCCTGGCAGGAGCCACCCTGCGTGGGCACAGCCCGGGGCCATGCCCAGGGAGGATGGGGAGGCTTCTTCCCTGTCTTCGGGAGGCTTGCTCCCTGTTTTCGGGAGGCTTGTTCCCTGTTTTCGGGAGGCTTGTTCCCTATTTTCAGGATGATTGCTCCCTGTTTTCAGGAGGACTGCTCCCTGTTTTCAGGAGGATTGCTCCCTGTTTTCAGGAGGACTGCTCCCTGTTTTCGGGAGGATTGCTCCCTTTTTTCAGGATGATTGCTCCCTTTTTTCAGGAGGATTGCTCCCCGTTTTCCGGAGGCTTGTTCCCTGTTTTCAGGAGGATTGCTCCCTGTTTTCAGGAGGTTTGCTCCCTATTTTCAGGAGGATTGCTCCCTGTTTTCAGGAAGATTGCTCCCTGTTTTCAGGAGGACTGCTCCCTGTTTTCAGGAGGCTTGTTCCCTGTTTTCAGGAGGATTGCTCCCTGTTTTCAGGAGGATTGCTCCCTGTTTTCAGGAGGCTTGTTCCCTGTTTTCAGGAGGATTGCTCCCTGTTTTCAGGAGGCTTGCTCCCTGTTGTCAGGCAGGAATGGGAAGCCCCAGTGAGGGCCATCCCCCCCTGAAGCACAGCAGGGAGATGGGAGCTGGCAGCCCCATGGCTCAGCTCCCCTGCCCGTGCCAGGTGCCCCAGGAGCTAACTGCCTTCCCCGTGCAGGTGGCAAGGCTACGAAGGCTTCGTGGCAGCCCACCACCTCCCCACGGTCGGCTGTAGAGACTGGGAGGCGTTTCACACCGCTGAGGGCTCCTTCCTGCTCTACTCCAGCGCCAAGGAGCCGCTTTCCAAGGTGCTCAAGCTGAAAACCACCTGAGGCAGCTGAGACATGCTCAGCTCATCGCCAGCTCCAGGGCAAGCTGGGCTGCCAGGTGAAGATGGACCACAGAGCCCAGGAATGGCTGCAGCCTCAGCTGGGCAGTGGCTGGCTGTTCGCTCTGCAGGAAGGGAGGAGGAGGAGGGGGGAGCTCCAGGGCTCCCTGCAGCCTTGTCCAGGGGGGTTGTTTCTCCTGGGAAAGCTCTGCCACCATGCTCCAGAGCCATGTCCTACCTAAGGTCCTGGAGGCCAGGTGCATCCCCTGGCTTACCAGGACCATGATGCTTGGCAATTTGCAGTCCCCAGGAGGGACCCAGAGCCGCTAGCAGCTGTGGCCAAAGCTTGCACAAAGCCAGGGAAGGAAGAGGCAGAGCAGAGCATGAGCTGCTGGGATGGGTGCATGGCAGAGCAGAGTAAACACGTGAGAAATGGCAGAAAAAAACGTGTCCAGGCCTGGCTCTGGCTGCCTGGGGCTGTGACACTCCTGAGGAACATCTGGTTTGACATTGCAGCCATTCTTCATGTCACCTTCTTGCCACTGCCACAGGTGCCTGCCCACCCTCCTGCTCTGCCATGGCTGGGTTGGATCTCCCTCAACAAGTGTTGTGTGTTTTGTTCAGACCTGTTGGTGTGTTCGAGGGCCAGTGCTGGTCCTTGCTGGTCCAGGCACCTTTGCATGGGGTAGGGACCCCTGAGAAAACCTGCTTTGCATTTGGACCCATCCAGCTATCACGGGAATGGGGAAAAACCCAAACCTGCTTCACGTGAAACTGTGGCCTCTTTTCTTTTCCTCACCTTTGCTGGGGGACTCTTTTGCTTAACCAGAGCTCTAATAAACTGCGTGCACCCAGCCTTTCTCCCACATGGGTAACCCAGCTGCTCTGCCCAATGCAGAGGCATCCCCCCTTCACCCAGCAAGTCACCCCTGAATGTCCATGGCCATAGGTAGCCCAGTGAGGACGAGGTGGCCCTGAGCACAGGAGTGTGCTGGGGTGAGGGGGTGCCCCTCTGTTCCCCCCACCCAGGACCCCCTGCCTCACCTGAGTGTCCCAGAGCACCTCTCAGCCTTCCCCAGAGCCAGGTTTCCTGCTGAGCTGGGCCACCCACCCTGGCACTGGGGAGTGCTCTGGAGGTGCCAGCCCCATCAAGAAGGGCTGGGGGTCACAGCCTGAGCCTTTCCAGGGTCCACAGCTGCAGGCTGAGCCTCTGCATCCCTCTCTCCTCTCCCTGTTCAGTGCAGCTGCAGCTGGCTCTGCCAGAAGGATCATTTCTCCCTTGTGAGAAAAGGGAGAATTTGATTTGCTTCCATCACTGAGTTGTGAGCAACAACTCTAATTCAGCCCCGAGGAAGGGCAAGATAAGGCAAGACCAGATGTATCTGGAGAGCTGGAGGTGGGAAGGGATGGCACCTAATGGGAGTCCTGCTGGTACATTGAATTTAGGTTGCTCTGCTTTGGGAGAGATTGAATTAGGATAAGCACCACGAGCACCACACCACCACCCTCCACAGACACTCAGCTCCCAGCACAGCACAAACCCTCAGGGCTTTTCCTAAGTGCAGGCCTTTATTGAGGAGACAAAGGTTTTGGAGTTTCCCGTGCATTGCTGGAGGCAGGCAGAGGCTGCCAAGACACCGAGGGCCTTGGGGAGGATGTCCTGCCCTTGGCAAGGCTGATGCCCCACTGGAGCCAAGATGGGATGACCCCCCCCCTCTGCAGTGACCCACTGCACCCACTGGTCCCACAGCCCATCTCTCCCCAGCCACAAGCATGTGAGTGGGGCTGCATTGCTCTGGTAGGGAGAAAGGGTCTGGCTGGGGCTGTTTGTCCCCAGGACCTGGTCACCATGGACAGCCCACATGGGGTGTCCCTGGCATCCCTCCCCCATGTCGTTTGCTCACGCTCAGTCCGGCGTCGCCGGGGAGGGGAGATCGGTGGCACTTGTCTGAAGAAAGCACTGGAGAATCCCGCGGGGAAGCTTTGATGCCCACCAGCTCCCCGGGAAGAAGGCTGAAGCTGGCAGCCAGCCCGGCACTACAGGGCGGTGCTGGAGGCGTCTGCGGGAGCCTGGGCGCTCGGCAGCGAGCTCAGCTGGTCCCCGTGCCCGCGGGAGCCCTCCCGGTTGTGGCGCACGTAGCAGACCACGTAGGCGACGAGCATGGCGAACCAGCCGAACATGGTGACCAGCACGGCCGCGTCCGCGCTCCTCTGCCGCGCGCCGCAGAAGTCGGCGCCGGCGTCCAGGACCTGCAGCAGCGGCTTGCCCACGTACTCCTGGCGCGGGGCCGTGTGGCAGGTGATGTCCCGCACGGAGTCGGGGTCCAGCCGTGCCTCCCACAGCACCTCCTGCAAGGAGCACTCGCAGTGCCAGGGGTTGTTGGCCAGCCGGAGCCGGGCCTTGAGCGCCAGCAGGGCCTCCTTGGGAATGCTGCGGATGCGGTTGCCCGAGAGGTCGAGGCTCCGCAGCCCGGCCGCCACCCCTCTGAAAGCTGCCCTGTCGATCTTCTCGATGGCATTCCTGGAGAGGTCAATCTCCTCCAGGTGGGAGAGGTGCCTGAAGGCGTTGCTGGGGATCCTGGTTATGCTGTTGGCATCCAGCTTGAGGAACACCACATCTCTGGGGATGTCCTTGGGGATCTCCTCCAGGTGCTGGGAGCTGCAGAGGACAGCCTTGGCCCCGGCCCGCTGTGTGCACTGGCAGCTGGGGGGGCAGGAGCTGCCCCAGGGGATGCAGAGCAGGAGGCAGAAGAAAGCCTGGGCCACTCTGGTGGCCGGCGTGGTGGTGAGGGTCATCTTGCAGGCAGGCAGCTCAGCATGGCTGCTGGCAGCTCCCCAGCGTGGCAGCAGCTCCTGGGCAGCAGGACAAGGGAAGCTGTGGGTGGAGGGGATGTGACGGGTGTTATTTCCTGGAACACCGGGAATGGCTCATGTGTGATGTGCCCGGGCAAAGGGGTGAGAGGCTGGGCTCATGAGGCTGGAGAACGAGGGTGGAGTGACGCTGGCTATCTTTTCCAGGACAGCTTAATTTTGGATTAATTAGAAATAGAAGCCCCAGCTCCCCTACCCCTGTCTCTGCAGAGACCACCCAGGTGGACAAAGGGAGCTGCAGGATGGGGTGTGGAGATGGGCCCGGAGCCTCTGCCCCATCCTGCTGCCAGTTTCCAGAGGGGATGCAGTCGTTTGCTGCTGGAGAGCAGCAGCAGTAAATTCCTATCTCACCAACCCCGAGTGTTTAAAAAAAATGATGAGTCAGACTCTAAGGATAATCAGACTGATTTAATCACCACCAGGGTTTTAAATAACAAGATGTGGAGCTCGTTTGCTTTCCCTTCCCTTCCCTTCCCTTCTGGTCTGTGAGCTGGTACAAGCCAGGTTTCCAAGAGTTTCACTAAAGAAGTGTTTGGAGGTGAGTTTGTTTTCTAAAGTAAAGAGTGTGATTCGATAGCCTGACTCTGGGAGTGGGAGGTGAAGGGAGGAGCCACTGCCCAGCACAGTGAAAGGGGTGATGTAGGAGCCCGAAAGGACGCCCCAGCACTGAAAGGGGCAAGGCAGGAGGTGAGCTAGGTGGGACACATTTCCTCTGCCTTTGGTGCTGCTCATGTCCCTCCTCCTACCTTGGCCAGCCTGGGAGAACAGATCCTCATGGAGGGGAGGTCTGGGAGGCCAAGGGAACCTTTCTCATGGAAATGAAATGTCCCATGTGATGTCATTATGGACACCAAGTTGTTGTCCCTCTGGTACCAGAATCCTTCTGCTGGTAGCAGCATCATCCCTCAGGTGTACCACAGAGGGATGCTCACACCCGAGGGATGCTCACACCCGAGGGATGCCCACACCCGAGGGATGCTCACACCCGAGGGATGCTCATACCCGAGGGATGCTCACACCCGAGGGATGCTCACACCCGAGGGATGCTCACACCCGAGGGATGCTCACACCCGAGGGATGCTCACACCCGAGGGATGCTCACACCTGAAGGACGCTGTCCGCACCTTTGCCCGCAGCCCTGCCCTCAGCAGTGGATTCTGCCGAGGAGATGAAATTGGGCTTCCCGGGATTCCCTCTGGCCCTGCAAAATCTACCGGGCTCTGCCAGCTCCGTCTCTCCGGGGGGACAAGGACGCCACGCTGGTTCCCACCGCATGGAAGGGCTCCGGGAGCCCCTCAGGGTCCGGGGTGTGCGGGGGTGATGCTCTGCCCGCCCTCCCGGGACCCCTCCGCCCCCGCTGCCCCGGAGCCCGGGGGTCGCTTACCGGCTCGGCCAGGGCGGCTCGGCTTCGCTCGGGCTGTAGGTGCGGTGCCGGTGCCGGTGCCGGTTCGGTTCGGTTCGGTTCGGTTCGGTTCGGTTCGGCCGTGGTCCCGCCTGGCCGCACCTGTTGCTGCGGCCGCTCCCGCGGCGCCCCGAGCCGGGCGGTCCCGCCGCGGGCGGGGCGGGGGCGGTGCGGGACCGGGGGCGGTGCGGGACCGGGACAGGGGGCGGTGCGGGAGGAGCGGGGCGGGGGCGGTGCGGGACCGGGGGCGGTGCGGGAGGAGCGGGACCGGGGGCGATGCGGGACCGGGGCCGGGGGCGGTGCGGGGCCGGGGGCGGTGCGGGACCGGGGCCGAGGGCGGTGCGGGAGGAGCGGGACCGGGGGCGATGCGGGACCGGGGCCGGGGGCGGTGCGGGGCCGGGGGCGGTGCGGGACCGGGGCCGAGGGCGGTGCGGGAGGAGCGGGACCGGGGGCGATGCGGGAGGAGCGGGACCGGGACCGGGGGCGGGGCGGGAGGAGCGGGACCGGGGGCGGTGCGGGACCGGGGCCGGGGGCGGTGCGGGGCCGGGGGCGGTGCGGGGCCGGGGGCGGTGCGGGAGGAGCGGGACCGGGGGCGGTGCGGGAGGAGCGGGGCGGGGGCGGTGCGGGAGGAGCGGGACCGGGGGCGATGCGGGAGGAGCGGGACCGAGGGCGGTGCGGGACCGGGGCCGGGGGCGGTGCGGGAGGAGCGGGACCGGGGGCGGTGCGGGACCGGGGCCGGGGGCGGTGCGGGAGGAGCGGGACCGGGGGCGGTGCGGGACCGGGGCCGGGGGCGGTGCGGGAGGAGCGGGACCGGGGGCGGTGCGGGACCGGGGCCGGGGGCGGTGCGGGAGGAGCGGGGCCGGGGGCGATGCGGGATCGGGGCCGGGGCCGGGGCCGGGGGCGGTGCGGGACCGGGGGCGGTGCGGGACCGGGGCCGAGGGCGGTGCGGGAGGAGCGGGACCGGGGGCGGTGCGGGAGGAGCGGGACCGGGGGCGGTGCGGGAGGAGCGGGACCGGGGGCGGTGCGGGACCGGGGCCGAGGGCGGTGCGGGAGGAGCGGGATCGGGGGCGGTGCGGGACCGGGGCCGGGGGCGGTGCGGGACCGGGGGCGGTGCGGGACCGGGGCCGGGGGCGGTGCGGGAGGAGCGGGACCGGGGGCGGTGCGGGAGGAGCGGGACCGGGGGCGGTGCGGGAGGAGCGGGACCGGGGGCGGTGCAGGACCGGGGCCGAGGGCGGTGCGGGAGGAGCGGGACCGGGGGCGATGCGGGAGGAGCGGGGTGCTGGGACAGCCGGGGGCTGCGGGAGAGCGGCCGCGCGGAGCCCGGCGTGCAGAAATTGGGTGCTGCTAATGAGATTTCCGCAATTTTTTGGAGGCTGCGGTCCGGGCTGCGAGTCTGGAAGCTTCATCAGCTGCTGTAAGGCACGATCGTCCCTCCCCGGCCTGGAGGTGACCAGGAGCAGAATCAGTCCAGCAGCAGTGGGAGAAGAAAGGTGCCTTGCCACCACTTCGGAGCACAACTCCCACATCACCTCTAAACCGGTCCAGTCATCTCGAGCACCCCGGTGTGCTGCAAGGTGTTCCTGCCCATGGCAGAGGGCTCGAAATGAGATGATAATTGAAGTCCCTTCCAACCCAAACCCTTCTGTGACTCAGCCATCCCTGGGGGCGAGTCTGCAGGCAAAGTGAGTTTGTACAAGATTGGGGTGGGAATTGGGCTTCTCCTGGAAGTGTGCTCCAAGCATGGCCTCCACAAACAGCCTGCATGGCCTCCAGGAACGGCCCCTGGTAAAGAAGCTGTAAGACACCAGCACCTGCAGTGTTTCATACATGGTTTATTGAGCTGGGTTGAATACATTGCCAGACTGAGCCCCCTCCCCTTGCCAAACCCCCGTGCAGCACTGGTGAAACTGCAGCTGCACCAGCGTGGGCTGAGCAGCCTTGGCTGATCCACTGGGAGAAGGTGGGGGAAAAATCCCTTCCTGAGCAGTCCCAGATACAACATGCCACCGTGGGGCTCTTCTGGATGATCAAAAAATGTATCTGCTGTGCCTTGCTCTCCCCATGGCAGGCAACAGAAAATGTGAGTGAAAAACCCCTTAAAAGCAGGGATGTCTGGGATTGACACACTGATGTCCCTGCTCCTGTCCCTACCTGCCCAAGGAACCACAGAGCACGAACCACCTGTGTCCCAGCAAGCTGCCACTTCCCATCCATGTGCACAGGGCATGGGGACAGGCAGGTGACGTTTAGCTGGGGCCTTGGCTCAGAGAGAGGAGGGAAGTTTAGCTACAAGCCAGTGCTCAGCATACACAAGCAGGATCACATACAGCTTGGGGCATGGCAGGTGGGCCTGTGCAGAGCTATGAAACCATAGGTATATCAGCCAAGAGCTGCTCACACCTTCAGAAGTGCTGCATCACAGCTCAGGACCATGTTGTTGGGTCTGAGGCAACCAGAGGTATGGGCACAGAGCCACAGGAGCAACTCCAAGCCTTCTCCAGAGCAATCCTTTGGGATCTGTGGCAGTGGGGCTGCCAGGGCTCTGAGCAGGAGCAGGGAGCAGTGATGGATATTCTGGTGGAGGGGTAGCCGGGACTGGCGAGCCCCCAGTGCCCACCCTGAAGCCAAGGGCAGGTTGGAGTGGACAGAAGGACCATCCCACAGGAAAAGCCCTGTGGCTCTGTGTGGCCCAAGCTCTGGGCTAGTGCTGTGGGCTGATGTGGAAGCACCAAGACACAAGCTGGAGCTGAACTTGGTGGCTCAGGTGACTGGGATGCACTGCCCAGGCAGCCCGTGCCCTCAGGGAGGGGACGCTTTTCCTCCCAGAGACCTGCAACACACATTCACAGAGGCGCCCAGAGTACCTCAACTCCAGCAGCTGCCATGTTCCCCCAGGTAAGCTGGGGTGGAGCTGCAGGTCCCAGCCAGAACCTGGTCTGGGGCAGCAGGAGCCCTGGCCCTTGCACGAGGCCTCAGTAGTAGGCACCGAGGAGGGTTGAGACCTTGTGCAGGAGCTCCTTGTGGTTGGTGTGCAGGGGGATCCTCTTGTCCAGCACCTGCCAGCGGATGCACAGCTCCGGGTCGCAGCCCTGGAGGAACTGCAAGGGCACAGATGTCACTCGTGTGCTGCCAGCTACACCCAACAGCACCTCCAGTCCCCAACCTCCTGCCCTTTCCTTTTGGGGCACACACTGAGGTGCCACCCCGTGTTCATCCCCGTGTTCATCCCCCACTGCCTGCAGCCAGAGAATCCCAGTCCTGCGGAGATGTGGGTCTGGAGATGTGGCTGTGGTGCTCCAGGCCTGCTGTGAGCTGGGCCAGGAGCCCCTGGGGGTGCCAGCCCCTCACCGAATTCAGCCTCTTCATCTCCACGTCGTTCTGGGTGTCGAAGTGCACGCTGATGGCCACCGTCTCCACCCAGGCGTTATCTGTGTTGCGTGGGTCGTCCAGGTACCCCTTGTGCACCTGTGCATGGAGATGACACATGGGCAGAGCCCTCATCACCTCTCTGAGGGCACCCTGGGGGCAGGTGGGGCATCGCCCTGAGGGTCTTCTGCCCTGTTGGAGACCAGAGCCCCGCTCCTGCTGCAGCTGGAGCCATGGGGAGTCACTGCTGCAGGCACAGACTCTGCTGTGGGCAGCCCTCCCCTGGGGTCTCTGGGCTGCTCCCTGACTCCCAGACATGAATTATGGCACATCCTCACCTCCCCTGACCCTTCCTCTCCAGTGGGAGCAGTGGCCAAGAGGTGATGCACCCTGCTTCTGTACCCTGGGCCACCATGATGCCCACATGTCCCTGTGCCATGGTGTGTGGATATTCTCAGTTCAGTCAGAGAGAAAAAGAGAAAGATTTCTGCCAGGCTAAGCCTAGGAAAAATCTTTCTCTTTTTCTCTCTGACTGAACTGAGAATATCCACAGCAATATCCCCACGTGCCTGTACCACCATGACAGCTGTGTGCCATCCAGGGTGATGCCCACGTGCCCCCATACCCCTGAGCCCTCCTGTGACCCAGCACCACAGGGACACGTGTGTGCCCCCCACCTCAGTGCCTTGTTTCAGCAGGTTCTGGAACTGGGGCCAGAACTCCCGGCGCAGGATCCACTTGAGCTTCAGTGGCAGCGTCTCACCTGGCTCCAGTGACCCCTGTGCCAAAGCAGATGTCAGCTATGGGGCTTGCCATCAGCACACTGCAGCCTCCCTCCCTGTCACCAGCTTGGCCATCAGGCAGTTGCCTGCCACCACTGCAGAAGATACCACAAGATCTGCTGGTGCCTCCCATCCTGCCTCTCCTGCCCAAAGTCCTCAGCTCTGCCTGAGTAGATGTCTGAGTTTGCCTGATCCAGTGTCTGCCAAAGGATGCTTTGCAGTGGCTTAACAGGCTCACACCAAAGATGTGAGGATTGAAGCCGTGGAGGGAAGAGAGAGAGGCAGGAGACAGCGGGTCAGGGTGAGTGGGTGAATGTAAGGAGACCCCTGCTCCCCCAGCAGCCTGGCATGCAGGTGCTCTGCAGGAGGGGCAGAGGTACCTCCTCAGCCAGCCTGTGACACACGCCTGTGATTCTCCCTTTTCTGTGGGATCCCTTCCCTTCCCTTCCCTTCCCTTCCCTTCCCTTCCCTTCCCTTCCCTTCCCTTCCCTTCCCTTCCCTTCCCTTCCCTTCCCTTCCCTTCCCTTCCCTTCCCTTCCCTTCCCTTCCCTTCCCTTCCCTTCCCTTCCCTTCCCTTCCCTTCCCTTCCCTTCCCTTCCCTTCCCTTCCCCTTCCCCAGCTCTCACCCCGGGCAGAGCCCAGACATCTGACAGTGGGTATTGGGCCACCAGAACTTCCAGCATCTTCTTCAGGCTCTTCCTTATGATTGACCCATCCAGGTTCCTCCTCCAGCTGTGAGAGAGGCCCTGTCAGGCTGCAGCTGGCCGTGGCTCCCCTCTGCCCAGCAGGGTCCCGCTGGCAGTGTGGGGTTTGGCCAGGTCTCTGAGGTGGCCCCACATGCTCAGCCCCGTGCTGGAGCAGGACACACTCACCGGGTCACCACGGGGTGCAGGGCATGGTTGGGCCCAAAGCAGTGCAGCCTCCCCCGGCCTCGCAGCCCCGTCCTGCCCATGGGGTTCCTGCCAGGGTGACAGCGAGGGCACCAGGGCAGCGCCAGACTGCCTCTGTGCACCCCTATAACACTGCCCTACCCCTGCATCCCACATCTTTTGGGGTGGCTGTGGGGAGGTCAGCCCTAAGGACAACGCCTGCAGTTATCCCTGCCCCACCATTAGCCCAGCATTAGTGGGAATGGGATGGATGTGCCCAGGCAGCCCTGGCCTCTCCGTGTCCCTGTGCCCAGCGGCCCTGGCAGTGGCACTCACAGAGGCAGCCCGTCCTGCACGGCGTAGAGCCCGTGGAAGCTCTGCCGGTCGATCAGCCCGTCCATGGTGTTGTAGTTGATCTTCAGGAGAGACTCCAAGGAGCTGGAGGGTGGGAGGCAGCCCGGCAGGGAGGGCTGGCTGAGCCACCCTCCCTGTGTGAGGGCTGGGGAGCCGTGGGGGGACACTCACAGGCTGAAGGGGTCCTGCACAGCCATGTCCTTGTGGTCAGCCGAGTAGGCAGGGGGGTCGTAGAGTGGGAAATCCACCTGCACAACACATGGCTGTGTCAGGCCCCCAGCTTGTGCCCCTGCCCTCACAGCAGACAGGGACTGGGACCCCAGGGACATCTTATGGCCCAGTCTCTTCCTCTGCCCAGTTTGTTGCATCGCTCTCCGGGTGATACTCCAGGCCCTGCTGGGGGCTGAGCTCAGAGCCTTGGCTGGAGGGCTCACACCCCCATGGAGGCCAGTGCTGGATCCTGTCCCTGACCCTGAGCCAGCCGTGCTTCAGGAAATGCAGAGGTGGGTGGTTGTACCCTCTGTGTCCACCCAAGCATCCCCAGGCATTCCTAGCACTGCAGATCCTAGCAGGAATGACACCCTTCTCTTTGGGGTCACTCAAGCAGTGACTCTGGGAAGCCAAGGGTCCCGGGGCTGGGAAGAACAACAGCTCTCAAATGGGATAATTTGAGAGCCAGGATATGCCTCAAGCCTTCTCCTCCCAGCCCCAGTGCCCAGCACCACAGCTCCTACCTCCCAGGGCACCTTCTCATCCGGCACGGGGAAGCGGAGAGTGTGAGACCCTGGATACAGGAGGTTTCGGGCCAGCACGTGGTACGGGGGCCGGCTCTCCTCGGGTCTCCCCTCCAGCTCCATCTCCTTGGTGTCCAAGGCTTTGGAGGAGCCTGTGAGGCAGACACAGACAGCAGGGTCCCACAAAGCAGGGCACCAAGTCCAGCACTGTGGGCTGGTGCTCTGCTGAGGGGGCTGGCTGGGTCTCTCCATGGGGATGTTGGTGTCCCCTGGGCCCGCGGGCCCTGGCTTCCCTTCTGGCAGGTCGTGCATTAAACCCCAGAGAGGGTGAGAATGGACTCAGGAGAGGCTGGATGGCCTCATGGAGACACCAAACCTCCCAGGACCAAGGGAACCTCTGCCTCCCTGCTTGACAGACGGGTGTGAGGGGCTGCTGAGCCCCGGTGCTGGGGACGAGTCAGGCTCTGCTTACCCACGGGCGGCACATCCTCGCCCGGGCTGAAGCCATTGCCCCGCAGCGCCTGCATCATCCACCTCAGGGCCTGGGCGCTCTGATGCACCTGCAGGGCACAGCAGAGGGTCACCCCCGGCCCCACTGCTCCCCGAGTGCCACGGGATCCTGCCCTGGCAGGAGGCACCGCTGTGGGCAGCAGCGATCCTGGCTGAGTCCTGGTGTTTGCCTGGGAAAACCTTCCCCAGGGGAATATTTTTACTAAGCAGGTGGAAAGGGAGGTGGAAACGGGATATGGCAAGGCTGGGCTGGCTCCCTGGGCACCCCACTGCTGCAGAGGGAGGGGACAGGGAGTTTCTGTCTCCAGGAGGTCTGGAGGGCCCTCTCAGGCCAAGGAGAAGAGCTGGGTCAGCTCTAACTCTTTGGGTGACTAGTGGAGTCAGTGGCCCATCCCACCACTCCCCACCTGCATCCTGTTTACTTTGGAGTCAAACAGAATTTTTCCTATAAACCTTTAACCCTCAGATGCTAATGGCAAGGAAACTCAAACTGTCTCAAAGGGTATTGATTCAGAGAGATTCTATGTTCTGGTTCAATCGACTCAGACCCTGGAAAAATTTCACCTTTCTTGGGTACTTGCCCTGGTTTTGGCTCACCTGGTCCTCCAGAGAGCCCAGTCTTTGCTCCACTACCCCCGTCCTCTTCACCCGGTCCAAGTCCAGCAGCTCTGCCAGTACATCAACCCTGGAGAGACAGCGCAGGTTGGAACAGCAGCCACCCCTGCACTGATCCCAACTCTTCTGTGCCCAGGACACCGAAGGACAGAAGGAACTTCCTTTCTCGGGAGCAGCCGTACCTCTGTGCGATGTCCCGGATCATCTGCTCCGTGTTCTGCTTCTCCTGGCACTGCTGGTGCTGCAGGTAGCTCTCCTTCAGGTACATCTCCCACGAGAGAAGGGCAGCTTCTTCATTCTTCTCCAGCTTCTCCTCTGCCGAAGGACGAGGCCGGCGGTGCTGTCACATCTCTGGGCATCCCAAAGCCCAGGAGCGCAGCCCGTGTGCCCGGCCTTGTGCCTGGGCACGCGGTACCATGCCCTGGGGAGGGGGCACAGGGCAGGAGGGGGACGCTGGTCCTCACTGAGCTTGTGGTGCGTGGCCGGGCGGCGGAGCAAGCCCCGCTGCAGCAGGAGCTGCAGGTGGTTGAGCAGGATGAGGGGTGGGGGCGCGGGCGGCCGGCCGTGGTACTCCTCGATCAGGTCGTGCCGCTGGAACTTCCAGATCTGGTCCGTGTGCTCCTGGACCTGCTGGAAGGTGTAGCTGGGGCAGAGCCCAGGTGTCAGCCGTGCCGTGGTGTCCCAGCTCTACCCAGCTCCCTCATCAGCCCTGAGCTGCAACTACTGCTACCACATCTACAATCCCCAAGTGGGATCTCACTACTTCCACCACATCTAGAGCCCCCCAGACTCACTTGAACATGGCAATGAGGAGGTTGAGGAGGAGGATGTTGGTGAAGAGCAGGTACAGGCACAGCAAGATGACCGTCAGCCATTCTGGGAAGATGGGTTTCTTGTTGTCCGCGTTTGTCTCTGGGCACTTGGGCTTGTAGGGGTCAGTGCCATTGGGGCTGCACTGGTCGATGTTGAAGTTGACCCCTGTGGGAGAGCACAATGTGACCCCATGGTGGCCAAACCTCAGGTGTCTTGGGGAGCAGGTTCTGCTCTCAGAAAGCAGCCAGCATCCAGGGAGCTTAGCACCAGGCAGGGATGTGATCTCCATCTCCACCATCCCAGGTGCTCTGCTCAGTGCCAGCTCTGCGGGACTTCCATGGGCCAACACGGCATGATTTGGTACATCAGCTTTGTCACAGCCACCCTGCTCATGCCATGCACTGTCACAGCCAGTGTCACGTACCGTCGATGTAGGAGGGAATCTGCCCGAAGATGGTCAGGTAGGAATGGTAGACCACGCCACGGAAAAGCCACTCCACACGTTCCTCATTGTGGATCAGGATAGCCTGCTTGGCCACCCCAAAGGACACCACCCACACTGCCAGCAGGAAGAGAAAGAAGAAGACATCCTTCATCTGCAAAGAGAGAGGGGAAGGATAGCTGTGTCCTGGAGCAAGGCCTCTCCAGGACGGGATAACATGGGTGGCATATCCAGCTGCTGTAGCAGGACAGTCCAGCATCACCCCAGCAGGACAGAGGGGAGCTCTCACCATGCGCTTCACAATGATGATCTTGGGCCCCAGTGTTTTACTGACTGTGAAAATGTGCATCAGGCGCAGGCAGAAAATGATAAAAGCCAGGGACAGTATGATGCGCCCAGGATATAATGTTGATGGGATCAGCCTGGACATGGAAGAGAGGAAAGGAAACACCTCAGTGCCACCATAGAACCATATAGAATCATTTCGGTTGGAATTACTGAGAGGGAAGTGACGCCCTGGCACAGGCTGCACAGAGACGCTGTGGCTGTCCCACCCCTGGAAGTGTCCCAGGCCAGGCTGGACAGGGCTTGGAGCAACCTGGGATAGTGGAAGGTGTCCCTGCCCATGGCAGGGGGTGGAACTGGATGGGCTTTAAGGTCTCTTCCAACCCAAACCAGTCCGAGATTCCATAATTCTGTGAAAATACTGTTGAGTTGTGCAGCTTACCTGCAAGTCAGCCCTGCGATAAAGACTAGGATGGCGCAGATATCCAGCTTATTCCAGAAGTCCTTGATGTACAGGGAAGCCATTTTCACAACCCCGAGTCCATCTGGATCGTACAACAGCTGTTGGGAAGAGAAAAGGGGCTGAGTGTAAGATACTCATGTGCCTCATAGAGAGGAGACCACACGGATCATCTGGTCATCACCGGACACTCCGGCTGACCCAAAGGTAACCTGAGCCTACGTGCATTTCTCTAGGGGCATGGGAGGAGCATGGGGACATCTGGGAAGGAGTGTGGGGACACCTGGGACATTGGGACTCTTCTAGATGGAGGAGAAAGGCACTGAGATGTTGAGGCAAAAGCTGAAAAATCTCAAATGTGGAGCAAAAGCTGGAAATCCTGCTGGGAATTCACCCAAAGAAAGAGCTCCCTCCATCTCCTGACATTCCCAAAACAGACACCAGACACCTCCTGGGAAAAGCCCACAGCATTCACTTCTGAAAATATACAGGGCCAAGCCAGATGCTGCCAAGGAGAATCCTTGGCCTCAGAGATGAGGGATCTGGTGGTTCCCCTGCCGGGACCTCTCGGAATGGGTGGGGGTGGGGGGGGGGGCATGAGAAGCATCACGGGATCATGAGCAGTGTGGGACCTCCCAAGGGGTGTCTCTCCTCCTCTGCCCCCTCCCAGCCTCAGCTCTGCCTGCCCGCACCTGGCGGGTCTCCTCGCACACCAGGGAGAAGAGCCAGAAGTAGATGAGGTATTCCCGCCAGGACGGCGTGGGCTGGAAGTCAACCATCAGGACGTAGGCAAAGAGCAGGAGGAAGGTGAAGTAAGAGAGGATGTTCATGAGGAAGATGACGATGGGTGCTGTGAAGAAGGCTCGGAGGCGCGCCAGGCAGCCCAAGGGCTGCAGCCTCTTCTCCCTGCTGGGAGCAGGGATGGAGGTGGGCTCCAGGGCAGCTTCCCCCAGCCAGCCGCAGGCTGAGGCCGAAGGAAGCCCCTGCCTGCCTCAGCGCGTGCGTGTCCGAGCTGCCAGAAGTACCTGAAGGTGATGAGGTTGGTGTAGAGCAGGGGGAAGAACAGCATGCACGTAATCACCTGCCACAGGCCATTGTCCACAGACAGCTTCCCCCACCAGACCTTGGTTAGAAAGGCCTGTGAAGAGGGATAAAGAGGGGTGCTGGCTACAGAGGCTGAAGGGCAGAGTCTCACAGCTACCCACGAGGAACTCTGGATCTTGGGGACACTTGGGCACATTCCTTCCAAGGACCACTGCTGGGAGCCCACCTGGACACCCCCATGGGACACAAAATTCATGTTCTTGGCCTCCAACGCCAGCTGCAGACAGGTTGTCTTCCCCCAGGCTTCAGAGACACGGGTGAGAAGCTTCTGGGCTCTCTCTTCATCCTTGCGGTAGCAGTCTGTGAACACACCTGGAAGAGCCAGTACCAGGAAGATGAGGCTGAGGTCTGGGGCCAGGCACCCACAGAGGCACCCTTCCGAGCAGGATCAGGACATTGCACCACACAGGGGAACTCCTGCACTCCCACCACCACACAGGCATGGCCTTGGGAGCATAATCCCAATCTGTGAGGATGGCACCCTCATTTCTCACCCCCAGACATCTCCTGGGTAAAGCTCACCAGCCCTGCGGGGTGTGGGGGCAGCTCTGGGGGGCAGGGGCAGCTCTGGGGTGCTGGTGCCCTCCCGCTCACCGATTGCCTTGTGCTCGTACTCCTCGGCCAGGGCCAGCATGTCATCGGTGGTGTCCGTGTCCTCCTCCTCCTTGGCCAGCTCCTTCAGGATTTTGCTGCAGGCCAGTGCAGCTGCCATGCAGTCCTGGCTCTGGCACAGAAGAGGAGAAGGAAAGCATGGACACTCTGTCTGTCAAGTCCCAGAAGCCCTGACAAGCCCTCCCCAGCTCCCAGAGGAAGGAAGGAGGGTGGCTCAAACAGATTGGTGGACAGCTTGCCATGCCAGGGGCTGAGCCAAGCTCGCCTGTGGATAACCCACTGCCTGGGGAATATGGGAACAACCCTGCCCTTGGCTGATGGGACAGAGTGACTCCTTGGCATGTTCACTGTGCCACCAGCTACACTGCCTCTTGTCCTGGACTGCTGTTTATGAGTGGCTTCTCCACTCCAGCTGCTGTGCCCCTGTGGGCTGTCTCAGCCTGACTAGCCCACTTGCGGCCCAGCATATCCCCTCTAGCTGTTTTGGCCTGGAAGGGAGGGATCTGGCCTCATGGTGGGTCTGGGGATGGACATAAAGTGCCCTCAGGCTGGCTAGCTGGCTCCTGTTTGGCTGGGGTCAGGCTCAGGACAGCTCTCCCACTATCCCAAATCCCAGCAGGTTCTCTGGTTCCCCTTGGGGCTGTGAGGTTTGGCTCCATATGAGCCCCTCAGCTGTGACCAGAGCTCTGGGCTGTGATACCTGGGCCCAGATGATTTCTGCCAGCTCCTTACGGTTCTGGACCACGGCCCAGATGAGCAGGTCCCGGACGGGGTCCATGGTGAAGGTGACTTTGCCAGGAGAGCGCTTGTAGAGGGACCGAAGGCTTGACCCCTGCACCTGCAAGGGGTGCGATGCTCAGCCCTGCTCGCTCAGCACAAAGCCACTCAAACACCTGGTGCTGCCCCCACCACCCATGGAAAGGACTTTGCCCAGGCAGAGGGGTGGCCAAGACTGGACTCATCCTGGCATTTTCACTTTTTCTAGGGCTGGGATCAGGTGGAGCTGTGCACCCACTCCACGGGGTCCTGCCCACCAGCATCACGCATGCACGCAGTGCTGCAGGTGTAGGAAGGTGGGGGTTGCACCTGGAATGCAGGGCAGATGACTAAAAGGCACTTCTGGTATGATTTTTGAGCAGACAGGAGGGCAGAGACCCAGCTGCATCCTCCAGGACAGCTCCCTGAGGCAGTGTCCCCTCCCTGCTGCCACCCTGGCACTGGGTAAGCCGGAGATGCGTACGTTCAGCTTGATGTGCGGGACGGGGATGGAGAGCCGGGGCCGCTCTGTGTGCTTGGGCTTGGGGTAGAGCGGCTGCGTGGAGCAGCCCAGCAGCTCCCGCAGCACCTGGGAGACGTGGTGCATCTGGAGCCTCGGCATTTTGGAGCCGGCTGTGTGCTCTCTCTCCTCCAGCAGCACCTTCTGCAGCTTGCTGTGGAACAGGCAGGACGGCGCCAGGTTGTCGTAGAGGTAAACCAGGGTGTCCCAGGTGACAAAATCCTTGAGACGCACTCCCTGCTCCAGGAACAGCTTCACAAACTCTGGCTTGTTGGAAATCAGGGCAGCTGCCATCACGGGGTGGAGATCTGAGGGCTGGCAGACCAGAGGCAGAGGTGAGGGGCTCCGTGGTCTCAGAGCAGGACCCTACCCTGCTCCTCATTCTGGGGGCTGAGCACATGAGGAGTCTTTGGATGTGACAGAGCACGTGGCATGCTCTAAAACTTGTGGGACATTCCAGAGGGTTAGAAGAGGGCACTCTTCTCTGGCAGTGGAGCTCTCTGCCCCCTTGGCTGCTGGGCAGAGGGATGGGTAGGGTAGAGACCACCTATCCCAAGTTCATGAATATCACAAAATCACAGGACAGTTTGGGTTGGGAGCTCATCTCATTCCAATCCCCTGCCAGGGGCAGGGACACCTTGCAGGTGTCCAGGTTGCCAGCTTGACCTTCAACATATCCGGGGATGGGGCATATATCCTCAAATGTTTCACTTCTGGATTCCCAGCTCCCACCAGCCCTTCCCAGCCTTATCAAAGGTGTGTGAGCTGGGGGAGCCCAACTGTTGACTGCAGTAGGAAAATCCCTTCCAAGTTCCACAGCCCCATCAGAAAGGACAGACAACCCAGCTCAGCCTTGGCTTCTCAAGAGCAGGATGAGGCAGGGATGGCAGAGCTGGCCCCTGCCCCACGCTGTAAGGAGGTATGAGCAGGGAAACGCCAGGCTGGGTGAGATGAGTTTAGAGACAAATTGCTGTTTGAGCAGTGACCACAGGGCAGAGCTGTCAAGAGGTGTCTTAGGTTCTAGGTGGGTCTTTAGAAACACTGGTTTTGAACAAAATATGAATTGTCTTTGTGTGTGCTTAGCTCTGCTTTGGGCGTTTGAGAGCATTTTTGAAGAACAACCCCAGTTAATGCAGTGGGAGTTCAGGGCCCTGGAGAAATCCCTTTAAAACTCTCCCCAGGCACAGCCAAGGTGAGAAGTGCCCTTCATATCCCCAGGCCTGACAAGCTGTAAGCCTGACCAGACAAGCAGCACAGGGATGGCCCTACCTTCCAGTCGTGGTCATCTGTGAAGATCTCGCTCCGGGCAATGTCCACCCTGTTCCAGGCCACGGCCAACTTCAGCTGGTGGTCCCAGTTCTCACGACCAAAGTGGTCCTGGTTTCGGGATGCTGCATGCAAAGTGTTAGAACAGAGGATCACCCAAGTGAGGAGATACCACCTGGAAGACTCCTTGGATGTGTGGCCCTTTGGATAATCATCTCTCCCCAGTAACAAGGTTTGGGGACTTCTTTGTTGACCCCATTAGTCAAGCAGCAATGGAAGTGACTTGACCCCCATCCCGTTCACCTTGCCCCATCCTCCCAGGGAGGCCCCCACCCCTCACCTTTGAAGAGGGCCTGGAGGATGGCCACATCTACGTCCTGCTGGCCATATTTGCCCTCTCTGAAGATGGTCAGGAGTTGCCGGCTCCGCACTATGTCCTGGATCTACAAGGAGAGCCGTGGGCAAGCAGTGAGCAGCAGCATCTCCTCCCTGCTGCTTCCCACTGGCCCCTGCACTGTGCAGGGCAATTCCTCAGTGCCCTCCATCACCTGCAGAGCCCCTGTGCTGTGTCCTCCTTCATGGACTGGTCACAAACACTCCCTCTCTGCCCAAAGGGAGCAGGCAGTGGAGGAGCAGAGCCTGAGCCCTTAGGGTGCCCACCAGGACATTGATGAGGGTGGCTGGGGGCAGATGAGACTTAAACTTCCCACTGGGATCCTTTCTGCTCATATACCAGGACCCCTGGGACCTCTTTGGTCTCCCAAAGCTCAGAGGAGCCTGCAAGGCACTCACCTTCTTGGTCCACTCCACCAGTTTGCTCTCAGTGAAGAGCTCGTAGGTGTCGTGGAAGAGGACGCTCAGTTTCTTCTGGATCAAGGCAATGGTTATCTTGGCCACGGGCAGGTTGGCCACCTGCGCGATGACATCGGCCACGCGCCCGGAGCCTTCCACAATCACACAGGGCGTCCCGTTGGTGATGGCGTTGTAGATGGTCTGCAGCAGAGCGGGGAGGTTGGTGCGGATCCCAGCCAGACACCTGCAGACCCTCGCTGAGCCTGGGACCCTCTGCTGCTCCCAGTGCTCCTGCCCATGTGGCACCACTGAGAGCAACGCCCTGGGAAGGAGCTGTCCCTCTTTAGCATCCCCACCTCAGCTTGCCACAAGCAGTTCCTTACATCAAGAGTCCCAGGGCCTCCTTCCAGCACCACACACACGATGGGGATCTTGATGGCAACACCTGCAGGGAAGCAAAATCCAGGGTCACCTTCCCACAGGCCGATTCCCCCATACATCCTGCACCCTCTGGGTGCAGGAGTGTGAAAGGCAAGGTGGGAGCCGTGTCCCTGACGTGTCAGGCTTCAGGAGAGGGGAGGAAAACCATGCCCAGTGATTGTCTGGCATGGCAGGTCAGACACATGGGGGGATTTTTGGGGGTGTTCTGTGCAAGGACAGGAGTTGGATTTGAGGATCTTATGAGTCTCTTCCAGCTCAGGGGATTCTGGGATTCTGGCATTCTGTGAACACGTGTGTGCATTTGTTATAGAGGGAGATCATTTGCACAGTGAGAAAGGAGATGATGCCTGGAAGCTCCCCTGGGACCTGGCCCTCTGGGAGAAATGACTTTCCCTGATCAGCTCAGCATCACAAGGTTTGGGGACTCCTTTAGTGATCCCATAAGTCAGAGAAAGGTTCTTTGATCTGTGTCTTGGAGGAACCAGGTTCCACCTTTATCATGGCAATCTTCTCAGACCCTGTGCCTGGATCCTCTGGGGAAGCCACAGCCCCTTGCTGGAGCCCAGGAAGGACAGCATTCCAGGGGGATGGCCCATCCCTGCCTCAGGCTGGGCTGTGTGTTGCCATTACCTCCTTTCACCTTGGTCTGCTCTGAAATGAACTTCTCCAGCCTGGTCCTCAGGGGGATTTCCACTCCGTACCTCCCGTGGGTCCCGTCATCCACCAGGATGAAGTGGGAATGGTTGCTGTCCAGACACGACAGGCTGCCTTGGTTCTCCTCATCCAGCACATACTCAGCAGGAAAGCCCCCCTGTAAGGTGCAGGAGACACTCTGGGAGAAGCCTGGCAGAGGAGCAGCAGACAGCCAAAGTAACCAGCACGTGGGGACAGGAATGGGTCAGCCTGTGGGCACAGTCTGGCCAAACTGTCCCTGTGCCCGCACAGAGCTCACGTCAGCCTTGCCCCACGCTCCACTTGCCCTCACGCCCACAAGAGACCACCCAGGAGAAACACAGAGCCACTGGGTAGAGTGGAGGGATTTCTCAGCAAATGCCAGCCTGGGACCATCCCTGGAAGAGTTCAGGGCCAGGTTGGATGGCTCTTGGAGCAGCCTGGCCTAGTGAAGGTTCCCTGCCCATGGCAGAGGGTGGAACAAGGTGAGCCGTAAGGTTCCTTCCAACCCAAACCATTCCAAGGTTCTGTGACCATCACTTGTGGTACAGTTGGGTTGTCCTGGGCTGCCTGGCTCACCATGGGGCAGACGAGGCTCTCCCGGTTGTACACGGTCCCCCAGGTGGCAATGCCAATGGTGACAATCTCGCCCTCCTTGTGGCTGCAGCTCAGGATGAAGTCTCGCACTGCCTCTCCCACCTGCTTCATCACACCAGCGTGGGACCCCCCTGTGATGATCCAGGCTCCTGGGGGTCACAGAGGGGCGTGGGAAGGGAGAGGCTCTGCCCACAGCATCTCCCAGCCTCCCCCATATAGCTGTGGGTCCCTGGGGTGCTCCATCCCCCAAAAGATGTCTCTTCCCTGCCCTGACAGCACCGGCAATGCCTTCTTCAGCACCTCTCTGAGTTCCAGCTCCTTTTGAGCCTCTTTGCAGTGACTGAGCAGGAGCAGCCCATCCCTGCTGATCGTGGGTAGGGACCTACAGGTCTCCCAAAAGCAGCTCAGCATCACCAGAACAGCCCAACTTACTGAACTTGGCACGGCCAGGTACAATCACAGGGAGACCCTCTGCACCCAGATGACCTTTAAAAGTCCTTTTCAACCCAAACTATTCTATGTTTCCATGATTTTATTAATCTGTGGTCTCTTACCTGTGGTCTGGGCCACCTTGACCAGCCCTTGCCGGAAGATGTTCTTCAGCCTTGGCTTCATGACGAAGTTTTTGGCTCCCCCGGTGACTGAGATGAGCAGGTTGGGTGGGTCGAGGCCCCAGTGCTGTGTCATGAGGTGGTAGATGACCCGTGGAGGGGTATCCGAGGAGACACGCACATACTGCAGGAAAAGGGATCATGCACACATTTTGGGTATAAGCAACAGAGTCAGGGTAACAGGACACCTCCAACACAATTCCTCTGATCCCACCCAAGAGGCTTCCCAACCCCATTCCGCAGCAGAGTCCTGCCGCTGGTCCAGGTCTTTGTCCATGACCCTGTTCCCGTTCGCTTTCCTGGGAGCAAACTTTCCCCAGGCAAACCTAAGGGCAAGGACAGGGAACAGCCACTCCTTGAATCACGAGTCTTGTGGTTTCAGAAAGGATTTAAGGCTGAGAGGAGGGGTCCTGTCTCAACCCCTCCAGTGCTTGAGTCACTGTTGCCTCTGGTGCAGTTCCACCCTTTCCCTATGTCCTGTCATTCAGGAGGGAAATGCTCCCGTGCCATCTCCCATGGCAAGACCCCAACACTGGCTCCCCACACAGCCACAGGTGGGACAAACAGATCACCTTCCCTGTCTTCTGTCCCAGCCCTGTGAAGCGGATATCACCGAAGGCATCCGTTGGCATTTCCTGGATGTGCCTGCTGGGGTCCCATTCCTTCCCCAGGAAGATGGGAGGTTTGGCAGCATCGTCCAGGTGCTGTTCCCTGAGATAGCCACACTCACAAATGATCCTCCTGAAAAACACACCAACAACTTCGTGGAGAAACCCCAAAGGCAAAGCCCGACCTCAGCCTGGGCAGGAGGTGCTGCTCTCCTTAGGAACAACACATCTCCCACCCAGCTGCTCCTCCAGCTCAGAACTTGTGCAGAAACAAGGGCAATGTTTGGGGGGAAATTAATGGAAAAAATTCAAATATTTCCACCGGTAGAGATTTAGGAGAGAAATATTTAGGATGGAAATGACTGTCTGCAAAAGCATTGGAAATGTTTTTCCTTGGGACACAGAATCTCAGCCATGTGGTGACTCACCACATGCTGAAGAACCAGCTGAAAAGAGGGTTTTGAATCCCTGTGAGAAAGATGAGGTTTTCTGGGCTGTAGCTTTACCATCATCCCTTACTTCTGCTCTCCTGAAGGAGAGGGAAGGAGGAAGTGTCTCACTTACCCAGAATCTGATGTCTGGGAGCTTTCCACAAAATAGGTGCATTCCTTCTTCCGGATGTTTTCAGGAATCCAGGAGATGAGATTTTCCTGATGGAGCAAGAAAAGCAGCAAGGGGTCAGGGTTTCTGGAAAGGGCCAGGAGTTATCCCAGGGGCCAGACACCATGGAGATGGGAGCACCTCTGGGTGCTTCTTGGGGCGTGAAGGATGAAAGCTCCATCGCTGTCTGCAAGGACAAAGCCAGATGCACTCCAGGGAGAAGGGATATGAGTGCTGGCCATGTGCCTCAGATGTTTGGAGGTTTTCTGTCTGTCCCTAAAACTGACCTGGTCAGTTATCTGTGCTCCTTTTAGTGAGCCACTCCTTTGTCGCTATAGGACACGAGAAAGCACAACGCGAGCCACTTGCTATTTTGCAAGGTAAAAGAGGAAGTTTATTTTCTGACTCCAACTTTTATACTTTTCCAAAGGTGACAGTGGATTGGAGAGTGAATGGGCCACCTCTCCAAAGACATTGGACAAACTACTAGTACATCAAGTTTCTCTACCCCCATGAAGGAATGTAAAATAATATGTTATTTACAGAAATTGTGTAAGAAAGTTTTCTAACAAAATATAAACTCAGAAGGCTTTAGAAAAACCTAAGAATCAGGGCAACACTCCTTAACACACTTTCATGTGTGTGCCCAACCATCCCCTCTTCCAGCACTGCCTGAACTTGCCTTTTCATTGCTGCCAGCGGGGAAATGCGCCTTCCTCCTGCTCCTGGAGACACTGCTGCTGCTCTGCTGCAGGTTGGGGACCACCTCGAAGTCGCTCATCTTCCTGGGGTGTGTGGCAGGGTCATCTCCTCTCTCGGGGCACACCTTGTTCAGCTCGGAGGGGAGCACCTTGGCGCAGCGGCCACGCGCTGACATGGCTCCTGTGTCTTGTGCTTCTCAGCCTCCTTTCTGCTGTTCCTAGGCTGGGAGCTCCTCAACATCCCCATCCTGAGGGCAGTGGAAGAGAATCAGAGAATCCCAAAATGGTTTGGAATGGGAGAGGCCTTGAAGTTTATCTCCTTCCACCCCCCTGCCAAGGGCAGGGACACCTTCCCCTAGAGCAGGTTTCTCCAGGAACCCTCCAACCCGGCCTTCAAAGAAAAAAGGGATGCCCATGAACTCAGAGCACTGAGGTGCCCCATCTGTCGTTGCCAGGGTGGAGGCTGGTCCTTGGGAAAGCTGCCATCTCCTCACCACAGTCCTGACACAGGGTGTCACCACGTGTGTGGTGACCAGCCTCAGCATGCACCACGCTTCCCCGGGGAAGCCCATCCATGTCCACCACTTCCAGCCTGCCAGCCTGTAGCTCTCCTCACCTGCTCTCCACTGCAGGCAGCTGGGATATTTCTGGCAGCAGGGAGAGCAGAAACTAGGTCTCTTGTGTGAGCAGCCTGAGCATGGCCCTGCATGGAAAATCTGGGAATATGGACATGCTGGCTGCAGAGACCGGGTGCTCCTCTGTGGAGGAATCCTGTGTCCCCTGCAAAGGTGTCCTGAGAGCCCCAAGATGCACATGGGCTTGCTGCAAACAGGGGCTGCAAAACTGCTGCAAAACACCCACAGTCCCCTTGGCTGAGGTGGGAGAGCTGCTGGAGCATAGGTGGAAATGCTCCTGGGGTCTCTGGAGCTCAAGGAGGGTGGTGTCCTCTCAGGAGAGCTGGGATTAGGTAATGGAGGAAGCACTGGACTCAGATGATGCTCTGGTCAAGCTGTGGGGTCTGTGTTTAAGGAGAATTTTGTCTGCTTTCTTCAAGCCAAATCCTGCATTTCACCCAAGGGTGGGGAGTCCTTGTGGGGACAAGGAGTGCTGATGCTAAATCATGGAGTAGCAAGGAAAAGCTATTTTATCAGCCTCCCTCCTGGGATCTACCACCACCCCACTGACCTTGGGAAGCAGATTTTGGCAGACTGGATTTCTGCATCAGCACAACCCCCAGCAATGTTATTTTTGGAGAAAGAGCCGTTGAAATAAAGTCAAATGCACTCCTAATTCTTGTTCATGGCCCCACAAGGCAGACAGGCTCGTGGGGGCTTGGGGCATGGCCACGAGCAGCTCATAAACCCACGCAGGAAGGGCTTCCACCGCAGGTCCTCCAGGTGCTGGAGGACGGACAGGTATTCCAGGACCTGGAATTCCTGTCCTTAGGGGCTCGGGGACAAGGACAGAACCTCTCCCGCGGCAGACGCTGCCTGCCTCCCGGTTGGAGGGGGTCGGGTCGCCCCTCGGTCGCACGGGGCGGTCGCAGCACCCCTTAGGACGGAGTGCAGGGCTGAATGTGCCCATCACCCTGCCCACCCCGCTGCCCCTCCGCCCGCACCACCCCGGCCAGGCCGCCCTACCTGCCCTGCCGCATCCTCCGGCCGCATCGCCGCTGCTGCCCGGGGACCGGAGCGATCCGGGGGAATCAGCCCCGCGTCCCTCTAGCGCGGCGGGTCACCCGTCACTGGAGACAGCGGAGAGGAGCGGGGAGCAGGGCAGAGCTGCCTGCAGGGAGGAGGAGGTGGCAGCCGGCTGGCAGCTGCCCAGCAAATCGGGCTGCAGGAGCGGTGCTGCCGAGGAGCCGCAGCGGCCGGGCCGGCCCGAGGCTGCGGGAGCGGCTGAGTCAGCCCCACACCGCCCGCACCGCACCGCCCGTACCGCACCGCCCGTACCGCCCGCACCGCACCGCCCGCACCGCACCGCACCGCCCGCACCGCACCGCACCGCCCGTACCGCACCGCCCGTACCGCCCGTACCGCACCGCCCGTACCGCCCGTACCGCCCCGCACCGCCCGCACCGCCCCGCACCGCACCGCCCGTACCGCACCGCACCGCACCGCACCGCCCGCACCGCCCGTACCGCACCGCACCGCACCGCCCGCACCGCCCGAGCCCCCGGGCGGTACCAGGATCCGGTTATCCGGGCTGTTAGAAATGCCTCTGCCTGTGGGAATCCAGGGCTTCCCTCTGGCTGCCCTGGCAGGTCTGGGACCCTGGCAGGGGTCATGAACCCCCCTGTACAGAGCCCCCAGAGACACTGGCTGTGATCTCTGTCCATGGAAAAGAGTTTTCAATCTTACAGGATGAATTCCCAGCTCTGAGTGTTTGATATCAGTAATAATTAAGTGTGGCACGGGTGCAAAAGTAAAATTTTAGGATTCTAGATGAGGGGTCCAAAGGGGACAAGATGGAGGAAATTGGGTGTGCCTTGTCCTTTTTCTCCTTCTTCATGCCCTCCATGTTTCACTGTGGTGTTGGCATTTTTCTGTTGGTTTAGGCTGGGGACACACTGTTCAATGTAGATGATAGATATTGGCACGTTATTGTAAATCCAGCACAGGTAATTTCTGGTATTTAATGTTTGTAACATCCCACTGAGGGCAGAGCCCCACACGCTGCCCTGCAGGACAGAGCTGCGGCAGGGCAGCAGAACATGTTAGAGATAAACAGAATAAACAACCTTGAAAACAGCACAGACGAATTATGGCTTCTGCTTTGGCAGCGGGGCAGAAAAACAGAGACTTTCTACAATCTCGGAATCACCAATACCCACAGATTCCGACATCTGCCCGAAATAAGGTGCAAACATCGCTGTCACATACGCCAATGACAATAGCATGGGTTTTATTTGATAGTAAATGTGGGAGAGGGGTTGAAAGAAAGAAACAGGAAATAGGTGCGGGGTGGGGGACAGAACGAGAGTAACAAGGACAGAATAAGGAAAATATCAGCACTCTGTGGATCCCAACCATGTTCTGTTGATCCTCTCCAGCTGGTCTTCTTGGTAGTGAAGGTCCCACCAAAAAGCATAGAATTCAATGGTTTAATATATGCTCAGGGCAGGCAGGAAAATCCAGGTACTTCCCTGGGGTGGGGAGGAGTTTGCCATTGTCTCTTAGAACAGATTTTGGGTTTGTTGCATCCTGTGCAGTCCTGTGGTGCAAGGCTTCAGGAATGACTCTGGGGGGCACTTTGAGGGGCCTTTGATGGATTAATGGATTAATTAACCTCAGCTGCCTCCCACATAAACGTCCCGTGGATGTGGCCTTCCCAGGGTTGGGGGTTCCACAGCAATTTGTGTAAGGGAGGATGGGTTCCCTGCCCCTGAGCAGAGGTTACAACACATCCAAACTTCCTCCCTCCACCTGGGCTGGGGGGGGAAAGCTGTGCCAACCTGCTCCCAGCAATGGGTCTGTGGGGTACAGCCTCTCCCAGCCTGAAGAAAGCCAGAGATGATTCTTAGCACAGCTGCTGGGGTTGGCTCACATCCTTTTCCTTGTTTACTTGTTTGTTTCAGGTGATTGAGGAATGGGTTCTGTAGGCACAGAGTTTGTAGTGATTGGGATGGGCTGAGCCTCATCCCCATGGGCACAGCTGTGAGCAGCAGGTGAGCAGCACTGACACAATGAGCCATGGAGTGCCCAGGGGCACTGAGCAACCACCAAAGGTTGAGCTAAAGAACAAAGAACAATAAGAGCAGACACTTGATGCCTTCTGATGTTAACTCTGTATGGGTTGAAGCTTTCTGAAATCGTGTGGTGCTACTCTGCACATTGTGGCTGTCTCAACTGTGACATGTGTTGTGACAGGGTTTTCCCTTTATCTAATCACAGCAGTTTGACTTCCAGTCCAAAGTCCCAGTCAGGCTTCTTCAGGGAGGTTTCTTTGGTTGTAGCTTCTTTATACAGTTTTTGTTATAATGAGAAAAAAATTATATCAATGTTTGAGGCATGAACTGTTTCATTCTCTGACAGCAGATGTGATGAGCAGGGGCTGCTGGGGGATGGATGGTGCTAGAAAGGAGCAGCAGCCTGGTGGTGCTGATGGAAGCCCAGGTGTGTGACAGGCTTGGCAAATGTGATGAAAAATCCCTTCCCTGTCAAGCTTCCTTTATAGTACAAAAGTATGTTAACTTTATGTGTACATATATACTATATATACATTTTAATTAAACACTGTGGAGTTCTACAGAAGACTTTAGTATTGTTTGTGCTGAAGTAAAACAAACAAAATAACAGCCTGGCCCTGGAGAGAAGGGCTTGGCTTTTGGGAGGCTTAGAGCAGTCCCTGAGGGATAAAGAGCAGCTTTATCCCTGGGATGACCGAGGTACCACAGCATCCCAGGCTCTGAGACCCTCCCAGCCTTGTCTGGTGTCACAGGTCAGTCACTGCAGCCAGAGGGACTCAAGGACACCTGGATCCATGGACAAGCAGCAACAGAGCAGCTTTGCCAAGTTTTCCTGCGACTGGAGATCTGTTAGTGTGGCTGTCAGTGCTCAGGCAATTAGTGCTGTACCTGAGCAGGTGATGGATGTAAGAACCTCCTAAGAAACCCCACCTGGACCTGGGTGCCTTGATTTGGCTGGGACATCTCATGCCCACAAATAAATATTTACACTTGTAATTCCAAGCTTTGCATCCCAACCTGGCACCTGGATTGGCATGGGCCACATGTGAATTTTTATTGAGGAACCTCATGTCCCACCACAGGCAACAAAATCCTTTTGGATGGTGCTTCCCTCCTCCCGTGACGATCTGTGCCCTGAATGAACTGGCTTCTCCTGTGCATTTGCAGCCACTTCACTTGCATTTGCCACAACACTCAGTTAGCAAAGCCAGCGTCCGTTTTCCTTGGGAAATGTGCTGAGCAGCAAAGCTGGCCCAGGACAGCAGCCAAGGCAGTGGGTGGATGCTGCAGCACTGATTTGGCTGCTGTGGCTCAGCAGCAGCAACACACCAGGGAGCCCAGGCAACTGCAGCTCTGCGTGAGCTGAGGGTCCTGCTCATCCCCACGGCTCTTGCTGGAGAAGAGAGCTGTGTCCAGAGAAGGAAACAGAGATGTGAAGGGTCTGGAGCACAAGCCTTACAAGGAATGGTTAGAAGCTGGGAGGGGGCTTGGCCTGGAGAAAAGGAGGCTCAGGAGGCACCTTCTTGCTGTCCACAACTCCCTGACAGGAGGGGGCAGCCAGCAGGAATTGGGCTCTGCTCCCAGGGAACAAGGGGCAGGACAAGGGGGAATGGCCTCAAGCTGCATGAGGGGAGGTTTAAGCTGGATATTAAGGAAAAATTCTTCATTGAAAGGCTGGTCAAGCATTTGAACGGGCTGCTCAGGGCAGTGGTGCAGTCAGCATCCCTGGAAGGGTTAAAAAAAAAAGTGTGGATGTGGCACTTGAGGACATGGTTTAGTGGTGAACACAATGCTGGGTTGATGGTTGCACTCAATGATCTTAGAGGGCTTTTCCCACCTTGATTCCGTGATTTTCTGATGGTAAAACATTGTGGGGCAGTGCTGGGAGACAGGTGGGAAGAGAAATGCTGCTGGAGCTCAAACACAGCCGTGTCCTTCAGATTTGGGGTGAAGCTCTGTGCCCCCCTCAGGCTGCACTGGGCTCAGGTGCTGGGGAGAGGCACTAAACCAACAAGCAGGGTGAAAATGAAATTACAGCGGTGTGCTCACCTCCCTTAGCTCACTTTCCAGCCCAAGGAGGTGAGTTCCACTGGTTTCTTTGAAGGAGAACAAACAGCTGAGGCACTTCTCTGGGAGAACAGATGCTGCTAATAAGGCAGTAAATAAATCCATGTGCAATGCTTTACAGCTGGGTTGTAATTACCTCTGCACTGCCAAAAGAGCCGGCGCCAGAGCTGCACATTAATGACACATTAATGGGCGCGCTCATCCGCTCTGGGCTGGCTGGCTCCCCAGAGACCTGGGCTTTTATTTCATTTTTAACGTGCCAAAACCACCACAGTCCGGTGGGACTCGCCTGGAGCCAGCACTGGGGTGGTTCTCACTGCTCTTCCTAAAAGCCCTGCTAAAAACCAGCAAGGCTGAGAGCAATTCCCAGCAAGTTCAGATCCATTTGCACCAGCGGGAAGAGAGGAGTGGGAGCATGGAGGACTGGCTGCGCTGCAGGGGCTGTGCCTGCACACACATCCCATGCCCCAGGTCACATTCAGCCACAGGGATGTTTGTGATCCAGGATGCTTTTTTCTGCCAAAGCACAGCAAACCTCCTGCCAGTGCTGTGGGTCTGGGATCAGCCTCTCCCTCCAAGGCTCTTTCAACCCTGACCCCTCTCTGTGAGAACCCAGGACATCCCTTTGGCTGCCCTGGCTGGCAGGGGGCTCGGAGACCTTGACACAAAGTCAAAAACACCTGTGGCTTCGATTTTAGCCCATGGAAAGATTGCCAACTTTGTATGAGGAATTACAAGCCACAAGGGTTTGAGTAGTGTGGTAGTTGAATTAACACAGGGTGAAAAAGTAGACTTTTAGGATTTTAAAATAAGGGGTTCAAGAGGACCAGATGGAGGGATTTGGGCATGTCTTGACCTTCTTCTTCTTGCCCTCCATGTCTTGCAGTGATGGTGACATTTTTCTATTGGTTTAAGGTAGAGACACACTGTCTAACATAAATGACAGATATTGGCACGTTATTGTAAACATAGTACAGGTAGTTTTTAGTATAAAATGGCAACACCACCCCAAGGGGGTGGGAGTCTGTCACAGACTGACCTGCTAGACAGATCCAGCTCCTTGAGAAAGCATGTTATAGAGAAGAGAAAATAAACAACCTTGAGAAGCCAACCCTACGCATTCCGACTTCTTCTTAGGCTGCGCGGGCTGGGAAGCAAGGACTGTTGCATTCCCGGGGTCACCTCGACCACCAGACCCCCAAGAACTCTCCATCCTCCCAGAAGCCATGGTGGTGTTGCCTTGGCACTGCTGTGG